TCCGGGTCCATTAAGCTCCGCGGGCGAGCAAAAATACGCTCACCGCCCAAGCTGGGTTGAGATGGAATGCTCAGACGGGCCTTCAGGGCCAGGTGGTCCGACCATGGCACTGTCTCGACAGTGATCCAGTCCACCTCCACACCCACTGCAAAGATCAAATCGAGCATGTGACCAGCCTGATGCGTAGGGGCCGATACATACTGTGAGAGTCCCAGTGCCGCCATGGATGACACTAGGTCCATAGCCCGGCTGGAGGCCGCGTCCTCAGCATGGACGTTGAAATCTCCCAAGACAATAAGTCGAGGGTGATCCAACGCCCAGCCTGATACGGCCTCCAGCAGGGACGGCAGGCTATTGGCCGGTGCATTAGGCGGTCGGTACACCAGCCAAATCGCCAAACTCTCCTCAGGCCCCAGCAGCAAGCCGACACACTCTAAGCCCGCGATCTCTACTGACGGGAGTGTCCTGAAGGAGTAAGCCTCCCGAATGAGAATAGCAACTCCTCCCCCCGTCCCCTCTTCCGCGATTGGTGAAGGACCGAGTAGCCTGGATGGGCTAACTGGGTGAGATTCAGAGTCTCCCCTTCTCTCACCCAGGTCTCGGTCACGCACACCAGGTCCGCCTGATGTCCCATCACAAAGTCCCGTAGGACTGTGACTTTGTTGTTAATGGACCTGGCGTTGCACAATGACGGAGGGGGAACAATCCCGGCCCCACTGCCAACCACCCTTGGGATGGGCCAAAGGTTGGAAGGGCACCGAGCTCTACTGGTTCTCCGTGACCTTCCCTCTTTCCACTGCCTAGGCCCACCGCACTTCCCCCTCCCCAAGAGCACCGGAATTTGCCGCTCAGACATAGTCTATACCGCTAGCCGTCTCCGAAAAAAACTTCAGACCGCCAAACGCAGACTCCAAGCCAGCAGAAACCGCCGCCGCTGATAACTCCAAAAATAAGCTGCTTAAAAAACAATTATCATTTAGTTACATCCGGTCGGCTGAACAGACCATTAAATAACAATACCACCCCAAAACATCCTCCCACCAAATACTACCCAGATCCCCCAGTCAGACCGGCGCACCCACCAAACATACACCTCAGCAGCCAAACAAACCATTCACACCTCCCTCCCACTAAGACTATCCTATCCCCGGCAGTTCCCCTTCAATAATTCATTACACCATTTGGAGTCTATCCCACTACACTCGCCATTCCATTTCAACCCACTAGAGGGCCCTCATGTTCTCAGAGGTCCTCCACTCTATCCCCCCCCCTCTTTCTCCGTCACCCCAGTCGACTCAAGGGCGTGATACACCACCGGGGGGCGATCCAACGCATAGGCAGCAGGGGACAGCTCAGTCTGATATTCTCCGCTCGTTATCAAACAACTGTGCCAGTTCTTTGACGTCGCCACCACCAACGATGTTATCACTCCTCCTGCGGCGCCACTCCACTGTCTCCGCCAAGTCTTCCCCACCTCCAGCCACACCGGCACTTCAAACCACGTCTCTCTGTGCCACTGCACAGCCTGCAGCCTTCCCAGCCGCTCTAAAGTCGTCCGGAGGTCCACACGCTGCCCTTCTGCCCCCGGTGAGCTGTAATTAGTCCCACAGGGACTGACGGTATAAATCCAATCTCTTCTTCTTCTTCTTAGAAGCTAAGCAGGGACAGTGCTGGTCAGTTTTTGGATGGGATGCCACCAAGGAATACCAGGGTCACTAAACAGAGGCAGGCAATGGCAAACCACCTCTGAATGTCTCTTGCCTTGAAAACCCTATAGGGTCACCATAAGTCAGCTGAAACTTGGTGGTGTTCAATACAGTACAAGTGTATTCTAAATCTCTCCATTCCAGTGAAGTGTGTAGAATTAAGGAGGTGAAGAGTTCTACTGATCATCCTTGGGTAACGTACCTAGCATGAATGAGATCGCCTGGAAGACCCCACGGTACAAACTGACCCTGCACTGCCTGCATTCTCACTGACAGCTTACCCAATGAAAAGTCTGTCTGTGACTGCTAACATCCAGTGATCATTTAATTATGAGTTGCCCTTTACATTTTACAAATGCATAGTCTCCATTAACAAGCAAGATCTTTGTGGGAGGGAAATTAAATGTTCTCTTTTCCAGTAAGTTTGTTTAATCACTCCCCCCTCCCCAATATAGAGATTGGGTTGGATCCAGACTAAATTCTCCAGTGGCAGAATGGAACTTCCCTGCCTCCCTCCTCCCACCGCGTCACAAGGAATGACATGAAGGGGGGGGGGTTCTGCAGTAAGAAGGGGGAATTGGTGGAAATTGCCAGTTTAGTCTAGATCCAGCCCATTGACTAGTATGAGCACTGTCCAGCCAAAGTAAAGCATTTTGAAATCTTAGTAGAATTCTGATGCCTAATATTTTCCCAGCTAAATCAATAGTGCTTAAAAGTGCTTGGCTTTTGGCAAGACCATGGTCTGGATCTGCAAAACCTCTTGTAATGAAATGCCTCATGGATTGAAAAGGTTTGGCCAAATGGATCTATGGCAACTGTCAGGATACAGGCATCTACCATATCATAGGTGCTTCATACCCAACTTCATAGAGATGGTGGCACAGTGACCTGACAACCATGTAATCAGTCTCCAAATTCTTCTGCCCCACAGTGGACTTTATGGTCAGCTTTGATAGCATTGGTCACCTTTTCAGGAGGAAAAGGAGGCCTGATTCAGTCACTCCAACCGCTAAACAAGGTGATCGGCACACAGAAGTGACCACTCCAATTGAAGGATGTTGACAAGCTGGGACATGCCCAGAGGAGGACAACAAAGATGGTGAGGGATCTGGAGACCAAGTCCTGTGAGGAAAGATTGAAGGAGCTGCGTACATTTAGCCTGGAGAGGAGATGACTGAGACGTGATATGGTAGCCATCTTCAAGTATTTGAAGGGCTGTCATGTAGAGGATGGAGTGGAGTTGTTTCTGTTGTCCTATAAGGTCAGACCAGAACCGATTGACTGAAATTAAATTGAAAGAGTTTTCGGCTAAACATTAGGAAGAACTTCCTGACAGAGTGGTTCCTCAGTGGAACAGGCTTCTTCGGGACATGGTGGGCTCTCCTTCTTTAAAGGTTTTAGAGCAGAGGCTAGGTGGCCATCTGGCAGCAATGCAGATTCTGTGAATTATGGAAGATTGTGAGAGGGAGGGCAGGAAGGGATGAGTCAGTGCTCAACTCTTATGGTCCTTTCTTATAGGCCCAGGTTAATGCCAATTGCCACTTCGGGGTCAGGGAGGAATTTTCCTCCAGGCCAGATTGGCCTGGAGGTTTTTTGCCTTCCTCTGGGCATAGAGCAGGGGTCACTGGGAGAGTGGGGGGGGGGTTTGTGCAGAGGGTAGTTCCTACATTGTGCAGAGGGTTGGACTCGATGAGCCTCGAGGTCCCTTCCGGCTCTGTGTCTCTATGATCATCTGCTGGGACATGTGTGTGAACCTAATCCACTACAGTGCATTTTTATTTATTTCCTTAGAAGATTTTGTGCTGCCTCTCCAGAGAACCTGTTTAAAGCAGCTTACAAGTAATACACAAGGAAAGCATAAAATGCCCTAAGGGTTCTTAACAATAAAAAGAGCATCAAAAAAAACCTCAGCCAGAGCATGAAAGCAACATAAAACATGGAGCGGCTTAAAACAAGTCTCAAAAGAGTTCAGACTAGAAGCAAAGACAATGGCAAAAGGTCAACCTCTTAATTAAAAAGCCTGGGTAAAAAAAGAGAGAGAAGAATTTTGGCCTGGTGCTTAACAGAGAGTAGGGTATGCTCCAGGAGAGCCAACAGGGGAAGGACTTTCCGCAGGCGAGTTGCCACTGCTGAAAAAGCCCTATTTTGAGTTGGGATTGATCTCATCTCTGACGGCAGCACCATAGAGCTCAGGGCTTGAGAGCATCATCTTAGCTGGCCGGCTGGACAGTATGGAAGGAGGCAGTCCTTCACGCACCCTTTCCCCAAAGCCATTTAGGGCCTTAAATGTAACCACCAACACTTTGAAGTGTGCCTGGAAACAGATGGGCAGCTAGTGCAGATCTTTCAGCACAGAGGGTGATAGGATCCCGGGATTGCTGCCCTGACAGTAGCCTGGCTGCCACACTGGGGACCAGCTGACGTTTCTGAGCAGTTTTCAAAGGCAGCCCCACGTAGATTGCCTTACAGTAATCTAACCCGGGTGTGATCAGAGCATGGATCACTGGGGCCAGGTCATGCTTCTTGAGGAACGTCTGTAGCTGGTGTATCAACCAAAGCTGAGAAGAGGTGCTAAGTGCCATGGAGGAGACCTGAGCAACTGCGGGCCAGGATCCAGCAGCAGCCCTAAGCTACAAACCTGCTCCTTCAAGAGAAATGCAACCCCCATCCAAGGCAGGATGGGGGGGGGGACTCGTCAGGCTGACTCCTCAATCCACAAGCAGCTTGCGCCCTGACCAACTGCCTTATCTGAGCTGAGCTTCAGTTTATTGGCCCTCATCCATCCCGTTGTCTTTTCCGGGCGTCTTTTCAGGGCTTCCATAGAGTCACCCAACTCAACGGTTAAGGAAATAGAGCTGGGCATCATTTGCACATTGGTGGTACCACACCAAATCCCTTGGCCTTTCATGGAGATGTTAGACAGAATGGGATGCCATGGAGCCAGCAGCAGTCCCTCCAGCACTGATTTCTGCAATTGGCCAGTCAGGTAAGGGAGAACTCACCAAAGCACAGTGCCCTCTCCTCCAGCCCACAGCCTCTCCAGAAGGGTACCATGTTTAATGGTCTCAAAGCCAATTTACAATTCTCCTGCCAAGAGATCCTGAACAATCAACAATGATGTGCTCCCCCTGTCACTCTCCCAGTGAAGATCATCAGTCAAGATGACCAAAGCCATTTTTGTCCCAAACTCCAGCCTGAATCCAGATTGAAATCTCAATTGTTCATCATACGCAGAGAAATGATTCTGCTCTTCCAGGTTATCAAATGGGAAAAGCATCTTTAAGCACTATTGACTGAAGCTGTGTCCTATTCTTTTTGACTGTACAAAGATACGGCATATGATTCTTAGTTATCCCTTTCAGAATCCCTGTTTTGAAATCTATAGAGAATGGTCAACGGACTTTGTAATTAGTTTATTGCTACTATTTTACTGTGAAAACAGACAAGTCTACTTACCACTCTTCCTTCGTCAGGATCATAAAAACGTTCCAGAAGTTGGACACTGGTGCTCTTACCGCATCCACTGCTTCCAACAAAGGCAAGGGTCTGTCCAGGTTTCACAGACACAGAGAGGCCGTTTAGCACTTGGATGTCAGGCCGTGAAGGATATGTGAACTTACAGTTGAGGAAATCGATGCTTCCACGGAAATTGTCCTGATGATACAAAGACAGAGTGGAAATACTGGCTCTAACTAGATTTACAAATGAATCTTACAAAGGAAATTACTATGCTATTATAGTTCCTAAGGCTGTTAACCGATTAATGCTTTTGATCAATTAGCTGTGTAGCTTCACACAGATTAATAGATAAAATTGAAATACATTTTGCATGTTGAAAAATCTCAGTGACATTCCCTTACTGAGAATTCTGAAAGAACTGGGCTTTGCTATAATGCAACTGATTAAATAATCTATACTACTGGCAGAAACAGAGGCTATCATTCATTTTTTTTTTCCCAACAGATCTGGGAGTATTCAATATTTCCTCTCCAGTAACAACCCGTACTCAAAATCATTTTTAAAACACATTCAGGCCCCATTGGTGCAGTGGAAAATCCAGATTCAAGTGATATGTTGACATTCATTGCCCTGGTCACTGTGAATGTCTGGTGGTAACACTATTAGGAGGTGTGATTTAGCTGCCTCATACTGAAAGACAAACTACTGGCTCATATTGGGTGCCAGCTGAAATGGACAGCAATCTTTGTTTCTTTCACATCAAATTTGTCACCTGACAGTAGAAGCCTGCATAGGATTGTATAACCTTCAGAGCTGTAGACTTTTCAAGCATCCTAAGAGGTTCCCTGCTGGATCACATCAGAGTCCAGCATCCTATTTCACAGAGTGGCCAACCAGCTGCCCTGAAAGGCCAACAAACAGGGCCTAGAGACCAAGGTATACCTGTAATGCTGCCTCCTAGGTCTGGAGTTCAGAGGTTTACTGTCTGGATGTGGTGATTCCTCACTTAGGCCTCACTGGATCATACTGATCTCTTAAGGAACCTCTTGGGATCTTTGCTTGTTGTCATGCCTACCGTTTAATCTGGGACCTAAGTTTCCAGAGAAATTGTCTATGACTAATCAATTAAAACTTGGGCTCCCAACCATCACCATTTCTCAAAACACCGTTGCATGTCAAGTAGGGGTTGGGTGTTCTATAGAACTGCAGCAGGGGAAAGCAAGCAAAAGGAAGTAGAATGCTTTCCCCCATTTCCTGTATGGGTGTGGCTGATATAATTCTAAAGAAGATGGGAGCCCGCTAAACCACAGGAGACAAAGAACAAAGTCACAGGATCTGATCTGTCAAGAAAAGCTTCCTTATCGGAAAATGCCAGGCTCTAACTTAAAATATTCAATGGTACTGAGGTTTTCGATTTGACATGTGTTGACACTCCTTATATAGCCTTCGCTGAGGCCTCACTGGAACACGGTGAACTCTCAGTGCTAAATCTAGTGAGTCATTCTTGTCCTTCTGGTGATACATTCAGCATTCAATAGGGGGGGGAAGAAAGTGCTGCAGGATTTCTATTATCCTGTTATTGTAAGCATTGTCTAACTTCCTTGTATTTGCATTATTACAAAGAAGAATCAAATTGCAGAAAAGATACCCCTTTTGCCTTGGCTTGCTCTGCTGTACCTCCAAAGGAATGTGTGAAGAATCATTCACTGCAGCGTCTGGCTTGTGACAGGTTTGGAAGGGCAGAATTACCATTAACCGCCGAGATGATGCTTGTCGAGCTATAAGCTCATGATTTCAAAAAAAATTCACTGAAACTTATCACATTAACATGGGAACACACTGCAACAGGGAATCTCTATTTTAAAATACATATCCCAGCTTTCATCCATGAAATCAAAAGTGCTGGGCCATGACAAATGGATAATCGATTAATATTAAAAACATAGAAAAATCCGGTACATACAAAACTGAGCAACTGTGTGACAGTTGCCATTATCACATGTAGGACTACCAACCTCAAGGTGAGGCCCAGAATTACAACTGATTTCCAGGCTCCAGACATCAGTTTCTCTTGAGGAATGGGCAGCTTTGGAGGGTGGGCTCTATGGTGTACCATAGAGTTTAGTAGCAACAGAAGTCCAAGAGGGGTTATATTCCTGCTGGCTCCATAGCCTTTCCCAGACTCCATACTCTCCAAGCACCACCCCCAAATCTCCAGGAATTTCCAAAGTCAGAATTAGTAACCCTATAAATTAGTCCAATGGGATATTAGGGGAGTGGACTTCCACTAGAGATCTAAGAATATTTTCTCATAAAGCTTCTGTTGTGTATTATGATTACAATTAGTTATTCCCAGTTTTGACCAGAGCTACATAGAGCTCTGGTATTGTAAAATGCACAATCTGATTGGCTGTGGTGGAACGCACGCCAATCAGAGTTCAGGATTGTTCTCAGAGGGAACAACAACCATTGGTCTTTATGTACGAACAGTGATTGGTCTTTACTGTGCGACTGGGCCGTGGTCTGCCCAGCCCAGGAAGTTTAAAAGGAGCTTGTTGCTCCTGTTGATTGTCGTTGGTTGTTATGATGTAATAAAGCCGAAATCACTTGTTAATAGCTGCCTGAGTCTGATATTTAATAGCTGCTCAGGTGATAGCTTTGCTTTTCTACATTTGGTTCCAGATAAAAAAGTTTCCCTCCTGTCCGATTGGCTCTGAAGGGTTGGTTTTTCTTCTTTACCAGTAACACAGAGGGAGCTTCAACAAAGGCATGGCCAATACAGCTCCAGCATTAAACCAAACTGAATGTTCAGCTTGAAAAGGAGAGTCCCTGCTTGGCTTATCTTTGGATGTCTAGTTCTTCTTTCAACACATCCCAGTAAAATAAGGTCTGTAGACAACTCTGGGATTTTCCCAATAAGAATTTCATCCAAGGGACCCACCCTGGCATTAAAATCCCTTCCTAAGAAAAACTTGGCTCTGGGGGATTTTATAAGGAATCCTTCAAGTAAGCTATGTAGTTCTATCCAGTTTGGGAGGAGGAGATTGGATTTATACCCTGCCATTCACTACCCAAAGGAGTCTCAGAGTGGCTTACAAACTCCTTTCCCTTCCCCTCCCCACAACAGACACCCTGTGAGGTAGGTGGGGCTGAGAGAGCTCTGACAGAAACTGCTCTTTTCCAAGAACGCCTCTGACAGAACTATGGCTTGTCCAAGGCCATCCAGCAGGTGCAAGTGGAGGAGTGGGGAATCAAACCCGGTTCTCCCAGATTAGAGTCCGCGCACTTAACCACTACACCAAACTGAAGAGCTTGTACTGAGCTAAGAGGAGGGACATAGATAGAAATAAATACAAAAAAACAAGCCCTTGATAATGATAAGGAGGGCCAGGAATGACTGACAGATGATTTCCAAAACCTTAGTGTCAACAGCAGTAGCCCCAAGGCATGCCAGTCCAGCATGGGGGGTGTCCCCCCCAGTCCCTACTGTGGCTGGAGACGTGATGATCTCATACCCAGGTAAATAAAAGGAATGCTGCTCCCAAGTTTCTTGTAGGAGAATCACCTGGAATGCCCTTAATCTATCCATGACCTCTAAATCTAGCGAGCGACCTTTCCAACCCACTGTGTTCCAAGAGAGTATCCTCAAAACCTCATCCTCATTTTCCAATAGTCTGTCACCTAAAGGTGATGATGGATCAACTGAGGAAGAATGACACTTAGGAGAAGGTACTTGTGAGAACAGAGGCAAGTCAGCTGTTGGGAGAGGCAGTAAGCCAACTAAACTGGATGAGCATTTAGGTGGAAACACCTACGGTGAACAAGTATTATTATATTATTATACGTTCCAGGTTCATAAGGATTCTGACAGCACAAGTGCCATCCCTCTTCCAAGAGGAATTTTAGACTACACAAAAGAGACTGACTGATATTATTGAGAGGCAGTGTAGTGTAGTGGTTGGAGTCAAAGCCTAAGTGACCTTTAGCCAGCTTCTCTCTCTCTCTCTCTCTCTCTCTCTCTCTCTCTCTGCCTATCCTATTTTACACAGTTGTAAATATAAATTGAGGGAGAAATTCCAAGTACACTGCCCTGAACTCCTGGGAGAAAGGGTGGGATAAAAATGAAATACATATATTTTAACTGCCACTGTGTAGTCTAACTACACAGTGGTTTTGCTTGCCGTTCTGTGAGGTAGTTGTTTTCAGTCCCTCACTGAGCTATGGATGTTTTTGTAGGCTCTTTTGAGGACCAATTTTGTTGAAAGACAGCCTATAAATCTGGATCAAATGAATTAGTGTTGCTATTCACAGGTGATTGGAAGAAAAATTTGGGTGTGTGGGGAAGAAGGCTAATTTGGAAACAGAGGAGAGAGACCTTGAGAAGAGAGAACAGTAACCACTGAAGTAACACCTTCACTGAAGAAGTTAGGACATTCATGATATCTGTGGGCAAACTTAATTCAGCCTGTCACTGCCACCAAATCACCTTGCTATTGCCCTGGTCATCTGTTATTTGTTGAAGCCACCTTGGTTTATTTTACCGAACTCCCTCTACGCCTTCAGGGTATCATCCAAGTTCACTTTCTCTTACTCTCTGTTCCTGGTCCACTATAATCTTGTTTGTTCAGGTACACAGGAGTACCATGCACAACAGTGTAACAAAAGGCATCTTTGTCCGTACCCATTTCTCCCCTACATTGCTGTAAACACTGATTAGAGGAATTCGATCCACAAGCTTGAAAAATCGTGCTGCGGCTATTTTCGCCTTGGCATAATTTGGGGTGTAAGACGAAGCTTTTCCTAAAGCAGTTCCACTGGTCACAATGCAGGAGATCACCCTGAAATCAAAAGGGAAAGCAGTGAGCATGCAGGTTACTTAAGATGAGCCCCGTTGGATCAGACCTGTCTGTGGTAGCCCCAGGAAGTCCAGGTGATAGCAACAGCCCTCCCACATTGGCAGGGAAGCTCCATTTAACTATCATGGCTAAATACCATTGATGGACTGATTGGCCATGAATCTGCCCATCAGCCCCTGTAAACTGATGGCTGCCCTTTAAGGAAGGGCATTCCCATGTCCCTGTCCCCTTACCTAAATACATAGCTGTAATGAAGTCCTTCTTGGTCCACTAAGAAGCCTCCAAACCGGTAAGAGACAGAATTGGCTATGAACACCACACACTGAGCAAAACCAAAACAAACCCCATAAACATTTGCTTTTTTGATTGCCGCTCTGTATGGGGTTTCCAGCTGCTTCTCAAAAGCGTCAATAAATTTCTTCTCCTTCCCAATCCCGGCAACCGTTCTGATATTCGTGAGCGCTTCACTTGAAATCTAGCCAAAAATAAAAACCAGGAGGAGAAGAGAATCTGTTAAGATGTTAGTTTGGAAGAAATGAGCCACCTATGTCGAGAGCTGCTTTATTCATTAACGCCTACAGCTTGGAGCAGCCACTACACAAATCCGTTTCAGTTAGCCCACGGTTAAGCCGAGACATAGAGACTCCCTTCAGAGATAATGTGAAACTACAGTTGCTTTATGAAATCAAGATTTGGCTGGCACACAACTGTTTAAATGCAGGTTTCATTGCCTTCACTCTTTTCCCCATCTCTCCAACAACCAGGGGTCATTTCCTGTGGGAGCGCACAGGAGCGGAGCTCCGGCAGTCAGGAGCCCAGGGGGCGGGCACATGCAACAAGCCCTGCCCCCTGCTCCCAGCAGCCCTCAGTCGGGACATGAGGAGCAAGAAGCAGCCAGGTAACTTGCAGAGCCCCCCCCCCGACCCGCCTTCAGGTACAAGCTCTCCCTCCTCTGCAAGGACTGATCTGCAAGTCCCCCCCCCCCATAGCTAGCAATCCAAAATAATCCAGCGGAGCCTGAGTGGTGGGTGTTGCCTTCGGACACACTTCCGGTATGCAAATAAGTTATTTGCATATGCAAATAACTCATGCTAATATGTTATGCTAATGAGCTCCTGCACCTCTTTTCTGTGAAATGACCCCTGCCTACAACTACATGACTAGCACTCCAGTTGGCATCCCAGTGGAGTGAACAGAGCACTGAGGAACAAACCAGGATTAAGCTAAGATGTCCACATTCACACATCATGAACAACCACAGTTAAGACAAACAGGGGGGTGATAAAGGAACTTCAAACAAAAAAGTACTTGAATGGAATGTATGCAAAAAATTAAGCAGACTACAGTATGTTATTAATGATGGGATTAACAAATCATCTTAGCAGATGTATTTGCCCTGAAATTCTTTAGGTTTCCTGTTCTGAGAAATATGATCACTCCTTTTACGTGACTTATGGTATGACACGCTTTTCCCTACTAGGCAAGGCTAATTCCTTTGCTGCTGAAAGCCAGTCATGATCTCTCCTGTCTGGGTAAAGTTCATGCTCTCTAAATGAGCATCATAGCCACACAGAGCTGAGCAAACAAACGGCTGTGCTTGCCTTAGCCTGTTCTGTTCTTATTCTTTCTTGAGCTCTCAAGTTGTTGGCATCAGCCATTAAGTATACACATCCCTCTGTCTCTCCTCTCCACCTCATTCTAGGGAGGTAGTACAAGGATGCAATGAAGGCAAACAGGACAGGACAGAGGTTCTGTGGGCTGCCTATGGCAACAGGAGTACAACCTATTCAAGACAGGCTCCCATTTAGGGATACTCCTAAATTCACCATCCCTGGATATGCAGGTGGTGGCATTGGTTAGGAGAGTTTTGTATCAGCTTGGGCCGGCTTGCCAGCTCTGGCTGTTCCTGGAGAATGTTTTGCTGACCACCATCATGCATGCCTCAGTAACCCACAGATTAGAAAACTGTTGTGTGCTCTCGGGAGTGAATCTATAGGAAAGCTTTCAGTGGGCTGGTGCCTTAAGAATGTAAGAAGAGCCCTGCCGGGTCAGACCAGGTAGTCCAGCCAGTTTAGTATCCTGTCTCACAGAGTGGCCAACCGGTTACTCTGGAGAGCCAAAAAAAAGGGGCCCTAATGTTGCCTCCCAGCACTGGTATTCAGAGGTTTTTGCCTCTGAATATGGAAGTTCCCTTTAGTCACATGGCTAGTAGCCACTGATAGACCTAGGGAGCCAGTGTGGTGTGGTGGTTAAGAGCGATGGACTCTAATCTGGAGAACTGGGTTTGATTCTGCACTCCTCCACAAGAAGCCAGCTGGGGGACCTTGAGCCAGACACAGCTCTTTCAGAGCTCTCTCAGCCCCCCCAATAAATCTAGCTTCCCATGCATAACACTAAAAGATCTAGAACGTCATGCTCCCAGACAATCTTAGGATCTCTTGCCTATACTACACATAATACCATATGATAATTCATTATCATATGGTATTGTGTGTAGTATTCCCTTTTTAAAGCTGTCTATGCCTGTAGCCCTCTTTTTGAGATATAGTGACCAGAACTGCACAGATTATCCCAAATGAGGCCACATCATGGATCTATACAGGGGCATAATAATATTGGCTGTTTTGTTTTCAGTCTCTTTCCTAACAATCCCCAGAATATAGTTTGCCTTTTTCACTGCTGCAGCACACTGGGTTGACACGTTCACTGAGCTATGCACTAAGAATTTTTTATCAGTCTCCAAAGTACAATTCCTGTGATTGGAGGGTGTCTGTGTAATAACTACTATATGAACATCTCCCTGCCCAGGATGAATAGAATTGTTTGTCTCCTGAAGAAAAGAACACAAAGGACTTGTGACCTTCCTGAATGTTCTGACTATGGTTCTCCCAGCTACATAGAGTGATATTGTTAGGGAGGGAAAGGAGGCTGAAATGAACTTGTGTTCGGATGCTAAGCTGCAATCTCTGCCAATAGCACTGATTTCTGGTTTGTGTGCCTTCACTGTAATGGCTGATTTTCCCAGCTGTCAGCCAAAAGTGCCTAGTAACCAGACTGCAACTGGAAAGCATCGCTGATATTTATTGTAAACCAAAATTCAGAGGACATCAGTCCCTAAAAGCTTCCCCCCTAATCTTTTAGGACAAACAAGTCTTGGCGGGGAGGGCGGGATAGAAATTAAACAAATAAATAATAATAAATACTACAGAGAAAAACAGCAACATAACAACTGAGTCCTATGAGAGCAGAGAGTATCTTCTTGTGGCCCTTTCTTGCACGCCCAGGGAAATGCTGATTGCCACTTTGGGGGCAGGAAGCAATTTTTCTCCAGGCCAGTTTGGCGGGGGATCCTTGAGGTTTTTTGTCATCTTCTGGGCATGGAACAGGGGTCACTGGAGGTGGGGGGGAGGTAGCTGGGAATTTCCTGCATTGTGCAGGGGGTTGGACTAGATGACCCTGGAGGTTCCTTCCAACTCTATGATTTTATGATTCTATCTGGAGCTAAAATTCTATTGGTCACATAGTTATTTGGTCCTGTCCCCCCCCCCAGCACATATACTGCTATGGCACACATGCAGCCCCACAACTAGACAATCAGCACCCCCAGGTGCTGCATGGAGAAGGCTGAAGCTCCTTCCTCCCCCTCACGTTGTGGTTCCAATGCAAGTCAGGCTCCATGTGCTTCAGAATGGAGTTCCCTAGCTGCAAGTCGCCTCCTGTGGTTGCATGTCAAGCATAACATCTATTCCGGAATCGTGTCTTCCCAGGATTCCTTGGTTGGGAACCAGGGCAGTTAAAAGGTGCTTCAGGCAGGGCCAGCCCAAGTGTCTTTGCTAGGGTTGACAGCCTTCAGGTGGGGCCTGAGGATCTCCCGCTTTTACACCTGATCTCCAGCTGACAGAGATCAGCTCCCCTGGAGAAAATGGCTGCTTTGAAGGGTGGACTCTGTGGCATTGTATCCTCCTGAGGCCCCTCCCCTCCCCAAACCCCGCCCTCTCCTGGATCCAACCCCAAAGTCTCCAGGTACTTTTCAGCCCAGAGCTGGCAACCCTAGTCTTTGCCGCCCTAACCCAGCTGCTAGCCGGGCACCCCTCCCTGCCACAGCTTCAGGGTGTGCAGAGCTGCTGCTCCCAGAGCCAAGCTGATGTGACTCAAGCTGCGTGCACACAGCCACAGGCACTACCCGAGCTCTTGTGCCCGTAAGCCAGGCATGCCTTGATCTGCGCACTCACTGAGTTGGCAGCTGGAAAGAAGGAGTCAGGTACTGCCACACTGTGAACTGGGCGTGTGGGGAGCCTGGCAGTGGCGGCAGAGCTACCAGACTCTTGCTTTTCTAGTCTTCTTCCTTTCCTCTGCAGGGGTGGAGGAAGGCAGTCCGGTGAGCAGGCCTCCGGTGGCAACACTGGTACCCGAGGTGCCACTTGTGGTTACAACTTGCCCTGCCCTTCTAGTAGATGGGCTGCCTTTGCCTCAGACTCTTCTTGAGCTGAGAACATTTGCCTACGTTTCTGTCCCTTCAAGCAGCCTCCTTAGGCTTCAACAGCATGTGATTCCGGAATTCAGTATACAGTCGCTAGTGCGAGACTCACGCAGTCGAGGGGACTCGCCAGCGATGTCAGATACAATGCGATGACATCACTTGTGGAGCGACTGGAAGTGACATCATCACATTGCTGAGACTCTCTGGCATTCAAGGGCTAGAGTGTCCCCAGCGATGCTGATGGCTTCATCCCCCTCTCGCTTTTCTCCCATTGCCCAGCTGAGTGACAGTGGGAATGGGCAGTGGGGGGCGGGAGCAACCCTGGTTCCATAACTGGAGCTCCCAATGATGCCTTTTGGCTCTAAAGGCAGCCGTGGGGGGGGGGGCAGGACATAGCCCCGGGGAAGGGGGAGATTAACTCTTCCTTCTTGTATTTTTCCCCATGTGAAAAAGCCACTCCAAACTGCTTTAAGCCCCAGTAAGGAAAAAAGACAGCTACCTACACATCTTGATCTACCTACACAGTGTGTCATTTTTTCTTTCCGGGATTAAAACGACCCACAGGGGATAGTTTTGATTGGGGAAATGGCACAAACAGGAAGAAGAAGAAGAAGAAGAAGAAGAAGAAGAAGAAGAAGAAGAAGAAGAAGAAGGAGGAGGAGGAGGAGGAGGAGGAGGAGGAGGAGGAGATTGGATTTATACCCCGTCCTTCACTACCCAAAGGTGTCTCAGAGCAGCTTACAAACTCCTCTCCCTTCCCCTCCCCACAACAGACACCCTGTGAGGTAGGTGGGGTTGAGAGATCTCTTGACAGAAACTGCTCTTTTTCAAGAACAGCTCTTATCAGAATTACAGCTTGCCCAAGGTCATCCAGCCAGGTGCAAGTGGAGGAGTGGGGAATCAAACCCGGTTCTCCCAGATTAGAGTCCGCACACTTAACCACTACACCAAACTGAGTTAAAATGCTCGTTGATAGTGCCAAAAGCCCAAACCAAGAACACCCTCCCCCCATCATGGCACCATTAAGGATCTCTTAAGGATCTTTTAAGGGTCAAAAGTTAGACTTTGTGTTTCCAGATACAGAACTCCAATGTCACAGGTACCTTGACAACGTCTTGGGTATCATGGATAATGACTTTCACCTCTGCTTAATCCAACCGATTGGAAGGGAAGACTAATATTATATCATTTGTAGGATGGCATTGCCCCCTGAAATTCTAAGAAGGAAGTCATCTTCCAAGGAGCAGAGACTTGAAAGGTTGGGGAAAATCACCATGATGTTTTTGCTAACTGAAAAAGAAAGCTTCAACCTCTGTGGCCCCGCCAGGCCTCAAACGCGTTCATTACTGACAAAGCTGCCTGCTTGAGTTATTACCCACCATCCTCATTCATTTCATAGGATGTTTCAGAAATGACATTACCCGCCCGGTAATTTCCATAGCTTGCTTGTCCTGAGAGGCGAACCCTGTCAGCATTTTTGACTGCATGGCTCCAGACACGGCCAAGAAGGGCAAGAAGCAGAGAATGACTAAAGTGAGCTTCCAGCTGAAGTAGAAAGCAATGATAATGGCCACGCCAATATTGGTGATGGAACTCACGATCATTCCTATCTGAGTTCCTGTCGCCTGAAAAAAATAAGGAAAACAAAAAGAGATCACAAAAGGGACTGGGACACTGTTACCTCAAAACTATACCCCTGTCGCTCAGAAACCTTCATAACTTTGGAGTTCTTCCTTCCCAGGCTCACCTGTCTGCCCTGCAAAACTTTCTGAATTTCTCTCTGCCGTTGGTAGTTCCAAAGGCACCAGGGAAGTCTGAATAGCCATAGTTCCTTGATTCTTCCTGCCTAGGAAGCTAAGCATCCTTAAGTACAGGGTTCATTTCCTGCAGGAGCACAAAAGGAGCGGAGCTCCGGCAGTAAAGAGCCCCGGGGGCGGGCACATGCAACAAGCCCCACCCCCTGCTCCCAGCAGCCCTCAGTCAGAGCAAGAAGCAGCCAGCTAAGTTGCAGAGCTCCCCCCGGCCCAAAACAGTCCAGTGGGACCTTTAAGACCAAGTTTTATTCAGGTACAAGCTCTCCCTCCCCTGTGAGGACAGATCTGCACGTCCCCCCCCCCCAATAGCTAGCAATCCAAAACAGCCAGTGGAGCCTGAGCGGTGAGTGTTGCCTTCTGACACACTTCCGGTGATGTCAGGGGGTGTGGCATATGCAAATAAGTTATGCTAATGGGTTATGCTAATGAGCTCCTGCACCTCTTTTTCTACGAAATGACCCCTGCTTAAGTATCTCTACTTGTAAAAATGTGCTCATCAGCAGAGGTGACTGGGTCCATCTTCACAGCTCTCTTCTTCCTCTCTTTTCCCAGTTCCCCCAGTCCAAGAGGTGGAGCATCAAGGAAAGCAAATTATCTCCCTGCTAGACATCTGCCACCAAAATGGCAGTTCCAGACTTCTATAGAATCCACACACACCCTGCTCCTTTTAAACGAAGCTCGCTTGGCTAGTAAACCCGATTCTGTGCTGTATCTCTTCAGGCCACCATCTTGTCACAATTGTATTGACTTCATGCTTTAAAAAAAAATCTGCTCTAGGCTGATTTGGCACTTCCTTGCATGTGAATTCATCTTTATGTAGAATGCCTTACCCCCTGAACCTGAGATGCATCGGTTGCTAATCTTGTAGTCAAGGCACCGGGGCTGTTCTTGTGGTCGTCAAACCAGCCAATTTCTTGACCGAGCATAGCTTGGAAACCGATTTTCCTCAACCGTCTTGTAAGCAGTTCCCCAGACTTTGCAAATGTATATCCCTGAAATGTGTGTTGTATACATAAAAGAAATGGTAAAGTGCCTCAGTGAGTGGTACAGCCATGTTCATTTGTTCCAGCAAATACAAATGGCTCCCTAAAGACTAGCAAATTTATGATGCAATCCAAAGCAGCCTTACATCTTTCAAATCCCCTGAACTTCAATGGATCTAGAAAAGTGTGATTCTATTTGGGCTCGTGCCGTTATTGCAGCTTAAGCTTTCAGTCTAAAGCCCATGTCAGATGCATAACGCGCATAAACATGAAGCTATAAGGAAGCATGATATAAATGTGAAAAAGAAAAGCAGTGGAACAAATCATTCAGGAGTACATCCGGTAGTTGTTACCTGCAAGAATTGTGTGAAAAATGATATCACTCCGACAAAGACAAAAAGCACACAGATGTTATCAATCTGTGTTCTTTGCTCTTTTGCATCAGGAATAGAAAAGGTCTGTGGGGGGGAAACAAAACAAAACAGCGTCATGTCAGGGAGATTTCAAACCAGGCAGTTGAAAGTGTAGTTTTTCTCATGGAGGCTTTCCCACAGTTTGGGCGCTGACCTGCAGTGGCTTCCGAGCTTCCTCGCACCTTCATATTCCATTTGTTGTTTTTCCATGAGTTTCTTCATCATTTCTCCATGCTTTCTCACAAGCACAAAGGTGGTTTGAGAAAGCCTGGGGTAAGGGTGTCAAACATAAGGCCCAGGGGCCGGATCCAGCCCGTCCAGGGCTCTTATGCGGCCTGCGAGAAACTGATGCAAGGGAGGAAGTGCTGGGGAGGAGTGGGCAGAACCACTCCAATTGTGGCTTCAGCATGGCAGAACAACCTCGTCTGCAGCAGTCAAGCAGCGTGGACAGGGGTCATTTTGTAGAAAAAGAGCTAGGGGAACTCATTAGCATAACTCATTAGCATATGCCACACCCCCTGACATCACCGGAAGTGTGTCATAAGGCCACACCCCCTGACATCACCGGAAGTGTGTCATAAGGCCACACCCCCCGCCCCCAACGGTCCCGGCCGTCCTGGCCCCAGGTAGGCAGGGGTGGGGAGTGGCAGGGGGGGAGCAACTGACCCTCCCTCTTCTCCTGCCTCCTCCTGGCTGAATGAGGGCTGGAAGCGGGGCGGTCGGAAGCAGGGGGCGGGGCTTCGTCATGTGCCCCGCCCCCGTACCTCACCCGGGGGAACTGTGTTCCCCCACGTTCCCCCCCAAAATGACCTCTGATGCGTGGAAGCATCTGCCTAGTGCTGCACTGCTGGCTCTCCAGTCTGCCCATGTGGGTTTTCCTCTGCCCCTTCCCCCCCCCAGCCCATGGGACCTTGCAGGGAGGATACAACACAGAGCTTACCAGCTGCTGTCCTTTATACAGTTTCTATCTCCGGTACCTGGCATTACGTTTTATGGCACACATGTCCCGGCCCAACAAAATGACATTTATGGCAGATCTGGCCCTCGTAACAAATGAGTTTGACACCTTTGGCCTGGGATAACAACAAGGAAAACACAGAAAGATAACAAATAGAAAACAAGGTTGTGAGGAAGCTGGGGGGGGGGGAAGCTGCAGGTCAACACCCAAGCTGCAGAACAACCTTCCTTGTGAAAAGACCTTTTGTGTCACATTTGATTGTTAATGATGTGAAAAAGACTGTCGTGTTGCTTTTACAAGCACATTACAGCTTTTTGATCCGAGAACTCAATGGAGTGTTAAAAGCAGAACTCGTCCCTAGTGGTGGAAGTGGAGTGCAGATCATGGAACTGCTTCACCACAAGTTTGCATTGCAGGAGGAGGGGAGTCTGTTGAGCCCATTGGAGCCAAGTACATCCATTCACAGTTAGACCCCAAAGCAAAAGCCGTGTAATGCTCTTTGCCAAGACCAATCAAAATAACAAAACACAGGGTGCAAGCTTTTGACTTTTCAGAACTCTTCAGCAGGCTGGAAATAGAAATATAAAAAGGTGATAGACCAATGTGGGCAGCCATGTTAGTCTATCTGCAGCAGTAGAAAAGAGCAATAGTCGAAGAGCACTGAAAAGTACTCAGAAACGTGGAGTGATTTCAGCAAGAGTACTTTATTCAATCAGGAACAAGACAAAGTAAGCCGGCGCGCAGGCCGGTATATATGCACAGAAACCCACCACCAAAACACACTCCCTATTTACCCTATAGGTTATTTACAGAAGCCGAGAGTCCCATAGGCTCTCGGCTGCGGACCTGGCCCTCTGATTGGTGCGGGCTAGGATCCGCTTGGCTATTGTTCTAAATGTACGAAGCTTTGGGCTTGTGCTTGACCGCATGGCCCAACGGTTGCGCACGTGGTAATGGCGGAGTACATTACAAGCACCTTAAAGACTACCAAAATATGTGGCAAGGTAGGCGCTCATACCCTGCCATAAAAAGGGAAGATCTTTTACAAAATTAGGTTCATTATTTCTTTGTTCTACTGACTTCAGAGGGTCCAGGAAGGTGCACATGGTATCATTTTAGGGTTGCCAACCTCCAGGTGGGCCCTGGAGTTCTTGAGGAATTACAACTGCTCTCCAGGCTACAGAGATGTTCCCTTGGAGAAAATGATAACTTTGGAGGGCAAGCTCCACGATACCACACCAAGCTCCTTCCCCAAATTCTGCCCCTGCCGGGTTCTGTCCCCAAATATCCAGGAATTTCCCAACCCAGAATTGACAACTCTCTATCAAGTTGCACCTATGGTACTGTGGGAATTCTAGCCATTCCGGGATGAAGAAGCAACAACAGAAGCCATCTAACTGCAAAAGTATAAACAGTAGTTAGATATCAGGAAATGCATGTAGCTAGTCAAAGCATATTAGTCAACATCTTCAACTGCAAAAATATTCTATGTAAACTTTGAAGAATGGGAAGGAAGTAATACAGTAGTCAGAGAAGAGCAACTACAAATAATGAGTCATTGGAAAATTTTACACAAGCACACATATGCACATAAATCCTAGAATTCACTGAGTCTTTGGAGAAAGACCAACAACTCTGGAGAATAAATTTTTTAAGGATAAACGCATTTATTAAAAGGGTCCTTTCATCAATATAAAGTTAACCTCAAAATGCAAAGTTGAATGTGAACTAGGGGGTAAAGGTAAAGGTTCCCTTGCTCGAAAGCCAGTCGAATCCGACTCTAGGGTTGCGGTGCTCATCTCCGTTTCAAAGCCGAAGAGCCAGCGCTGTCCGAAGACATTTCCGTGGTCATGTGGCCGGCATGACTAGACACCAAGGTGCACGGAACGCTGTTACCTTCCCACCAAAGTGGTACCTATTTGTCTACTTGCAATTTCTTGCTTTCGAACTGCTAGGTGGGCAGGAGCTGGAACTAGAGACGGGAGCTCACCCCATCTTGCGGCACCCGGGTCTTGAACTGCTGACCTACTGACCTTCCACAGCCTGCAGTTCAGCGTCTTAACCACTTGAGCCACCGCAGCTCCGAACTAGGGGGTACATATACTTAAATATATAACTGGAATATTTCTTAACCGTGCATGATGACCTACATCAGTGGTACAAACAGACCGTAGGCATGCCTCACAGGGAAATATGGTTCCTGTTTGCCGCAACCGAAACATTCATTTGAGAGGAAAACAAGCTGCCTGCTGCCTTTGCCAAAATGATAATGAGAGCTCAACCAAGAACGGTTGTTTTTCTCCATTAATTTTATCACTTTCCCCTGTGTCTTTCTAACAAGTTTTGGCAGATCCAGCAGATAGGCGTGCTGACAACAGAATGGCTCAGACCCAAGTATTCAACTTTTAGCTATTGCTCCCAAGTTATACATGTTAGCTGGGTCTTCCAGACCTAGCTTGGGAATTTAAAAAAAAAACGCTGAGTGCAGAAGAAACAGCTTGTGTTTGTGTATACTCCGTGATGATGTATATTCAAAGTCAATTTAGTTTTGGCCAGTGTTGATGGCAACTCATGCAAAATCAACTGATTGGGACCTGGGTAGACCAACATAATTGGAACCACTGATTCTATCACTATCTGGATTCTGTTACTCTCATGGCTGGACCCTGGAAGGAACCATTATTCATCAAGGATGTGAGAAGATGGCCGACCCTCTGGAACACAACCGGCAGCTTCCAAGTCCCCCGGGGAGCTACTGGCACATATTAGTTATAGAAGGACTTGTGAGGTGGGGACACGAAGTTGTCTTACACTGAATCAGACCCTTGGTCCATCAAAGTCAATACTGTCTGCTCAGAGTGGCAGCAACTCTTCAGGGTCTCAGGTGCCTATTACTTGATCCTTTTAACTGGAGATGCCGGGGATTGGACCCTGGGACCTTTTGCATGCCAGGCAGATGCTCTACCACTGTGCCACAGCCCCTCCAAATGGGATGAGAGTGCAGGAAAGAATGATGAGGTGGAGACTGGCCAGGTAAAGCAGGGAAAAGCAGAAATGCAATGGAAGCAGAGGTCATTTCGGGGGGGGAATGCGGGGGAACGCAGTTCCCCCTGGTGAGGTGCAGGGGGGCGGGGCACATGATGAAGCCCCGCCCCCTGCTTCCGGCCGCCCCACTTCCAGCCCTCATTCAGCCAGGAGGAGGCAGGAGAAGAGGGAGGGTAAGTTGCTTCCTCCCCGCCTCTCCCCACCCCTGCCTGCTTGGGGCCAGGGAGGGCCTTGGCGGGGCTTCCTCGCACTCCCGCTGGCCTTGCAGGTCCACCGCCGTGCTCCTGATGTCAGGGGGTGTGGCATATGCTAATGAGTTATGCTAATGAGTCCCCCTAGCTCTTTTTCTACGAAATGACCCCTGAATGGAAGGTATATAAATGGGAAATGCCAGCTATATAAAGTGCAATGTACTTGTTTGTTTGGGTTTAGGTGAGTTCTTCAAAGACTAATTCAGATAAAAATTAAAGAGACAGAATATACCATCTACCCCCTCTCTGGCATCAGAAAATTCTGGGTTTTTATGCACATGGGGGGGGAGGGGGGTTGTAAAAGTTGTGAATCTTAATGATTTTCTTTTCATGGTTTCATCTTGTTTTATTTTGTGAGCCACCTTGAGCAGGTCTTTGGAGAGGCAGCATATAATTTTTACAAATAAATAAATAGGCCAGCCTGCTCTTGAGAAGCTTGAGACCAAGCAGGTGAAAGGCTCAGACTTTTGATTTTCCCCAGAACAATCCAAAAGTTGACAGCAGTTCCCGTACAAGTGTGGCCTGGACTGGGCTGTAAACTGTGATGCACTGCTAGAGGTGTCCTCCACTACTGATTCACCTGTGAAGGGGGAACACCAAGAGAGGTGGCCTTAGGGGTGTCCTTTCTGGCAGTTCCACAGTCATGCACAGGATAGGGGTCCCTGCCAATTTTATTTGCGTGTTTCTAGTTTTTGTTGATAGCCACTTCAATAAGTTTTAGATCATCATTTCCTGGGAGTGAGTGAAATAGCCTAAAAATGTAGCTGTTTTCAGCCCAGTGAGAGTGGATAGGACCCAATTCATTTTCTTGAGAGAAAAGAAAGATAAAAGGAAACGTCAACTGGTACAGAATGCTGTCACTAGGATGTTGAATGGACTGGGCTGTAGGACATCACTCCAGTCTTGGCTCATCTACAACAGTTCCCAATTTGTTTCCAAGGCCAGTTCAAAGTGCCGCAGTTGACCTTTAAAGCCCTCCATGGCTTGGGACTATGGATGGGCACAAAGCAAACCACAAAGCAAAATTCGTGATGGATTTTGCCCTGTTCGTGGTTCAAGAACTGAACCTGATGGGTCTACTGTCACGGATTTCCACAAACGTTTAAGGCAGTTCATGGGGTTCATGATTTATTTTCATAATCTTTTAAACCGTTTGCTAGCCGCCTTGGTGGCCCTCATTGGGCAGAAAGGCAGCCTGTAAGTTTTGTAAATAAACAAAATAAACCTGCCAAACAGCAATGAATGGAACAATGAACTGCTGAACATATCACTGATACATCAACTCCCTGTTCATGACAAGTAAACAGGATTAGAGCCAAACCAGTGGGTGTTTAAGCATCCCTAGTTTAGACTGGCCAGTCACTGTTCCCTCTAAGCTGAGTTAGCGTGAGCCAGCTCACAGTTTTTTAGCTTCCGGCTCACACATTTTTGCTTTAGCTCAGGAAGGATGGCTCCAGAACAAACTGATTTATGCAATAGCCAAATCACTCACTCACAACTTTAATGCCAGTATCTCACAAAATAGAATTTTTGCTCACAGGACTCCATAGCTTAGAGGGAACATTGCTGGCCATTACAACATTTATTTTTAATGCCCTTTTTGCTGGTGCTCTTACTATGCTTCATTGTTCTGAGAACTCGTCTGTTGAAAATTCGGATTATAAATTCCTACGTAAATAAAATATCTGATCTGATCCAGCATCTATGGTTTGTATTCCCTACAGAACTATGAAGGCACTACAGAACTATCAAGGAACTGGATTCTAGCAGTCCTCAGTTCTATTTTAAAAATAAAAAATATAAAATGCTAACACTTGAATAGCATATTAGCAGATGTATATTTACTATCCTGAAAAAACTATCTATGTCCTGAAAAATATCCCAATGCAAAATCTGTTCCAAGTGTCCAGTTCATTCCTTCTTGGGATTAGAGCATCAAATCTAGCCAGACTTCAACTTCTTTTACATAAGGGAGCCCAGTCTCGTGCAGCCTTTAACACCAGTCCCTGTTATTATGTGAAACATAATATATGCTGCTACATTCCCTGCAGGGCTGTCACTTTGCAGTTTATGACCCTCTGACTGTATCATTTGAGACACAGGGATCGCTCCTGCTGTGAGCAAGCCTGTGATACATCCACAGTTTATTTATGCAATAGACATAAAGCCTAAGACGCAGCATCTGTTTTTCAGTATGATTTAGCAAAAAGAAAAAAAAGAAGAGCAAGGCTGCACCAACAATGGTTGGAGAAGTGAACTGAGTGAAAAGTCAAATCGATTCAGAAGAATTCCTTAGTTCTTACTGCCCAATGCATTTCACCAAAATGTCTTCTTTGGGAGCAATTAATTACAGATTCCTTTACTTCAGAAAGTGTTTTCATAGAGGAACAGCCTGTAAAAACTAGTGAGGTGGCAAAACTCATGTTTTGGGAGAGTCACTGAATTCCATGGATCTGATCATCCTCTATCTCGTTTTAAAGAGAGCCTATGGCCATGCACTCTGCCAGACCCTGGTATCTTTTCTCAGATTTATCCCACTGGGGCAAAGAGACAAGGGCAAATGCAGGCCTCAGGACTGAGGAAGGGAGTTGCACTGATGCGCTAGGGTTGCCAGCCTCCAGGAGGGGCCTGGATATTTCCTGGTGGGGCCTGAATAGTTCCTGATACTATTATAGAGGTCAGTTTCCTGGGAGAAAACGGCTGTTTTGGACACTGTCGTGGTCCCTCCACTCCCCAAACCCCACCCAGGAATTTTCCAATTCAGAGGTGGCAAACTTAGATGAGTCCATGTTCTGAACCCTCCTTACCATGGATAGAAAAAGGCAAGACAAGCCTGTGATTAAAGGGTGGGTGTGGGTTGGTGATGGAAAGCCTGCAGTCCCTGTTGTGTTGCGATGACATTCCCAGAATAAAAGCTACATTAAAATGAATAGCTATAGAATGTTCAACAATAATTCTTCGGAATCATTTGCTTCAAAGTCGTCCATTCCAGTTCAGACTGGGTGTTTGCCTAGTGCAAACTACAGCTCGGAGGAAGCACCTTTTGAATTAGAAGAACCTGTTGCTATTTCCTGTGACAAATATATCGGGCAGCTTATTTGAGTTACTACATTCCCCTCCAGGCAAAAGCTTCCTGTTAGACTCTCCTATTGCTTTTGATTTTGCCCAGTATTATATTTGACTGACTGAGACACCATAATGGATGATGCTTCACACTGTGTCCGGGCTGGAAAACCAGAGCCTAATTCAAGGTAGTGTACACACACAATTAAAATGCCATGTAGGGAGAAGTCTGGGATTTGGGAGTTTACAGATTTGGTTTTCCAGTGTGCAGAAAGTATGATAACACGAGAAGCAGAGTAAAATACTAAACATGAAATTAGCATGTCGGTGTTGAACCATTCATTTGAGTACAGTTATACTGTATACTATAGTATTAATAATACTCAGTACAAGGAAATACTTACTCCAATAATCTGACTGAAGAGCAAAGCATAGAGCGGGTTGACTGCTCCGTTGCCAGCTGCCCCTAAGGATCCAAGCACCATGTAGGGCCATTCTGGAGCATTGTACTTCAAAATTCTGGTAACATTAGCTGGTTCTACCTCCTCTTCAGCAATACATTCCTTTTTAAAAAAAAGAAGAAGTAATTGAATATGAAATAAATATTCATTACTAATTGATTCATCCCATAGTGGCATCAAGCATACGATGTGCTGAGCACCTTGTGCTACTGTCTGTATTTTACTGTTGCAATGGAAAATGGCAAGTGTAAATAGAGTGATGTTGTGTAAGCTGTAGGTCAGGGGATTCAAACATAAAGCCCAGGGTACGGAAACGGCCCATCCAGGGCTCTTATGCAGCCCATGGGCAACTAGTACAAGGGAGGGAACGAAGACTGTTTGGGGGGGAGTGGACGGACCCACTCCAATTGTGGCTTCAGCATGGTGGAACAACCTCGTCTGCAGCAGTCAAGCAGCATGGGAGCATCTGCCCAGTGCTGCACCGCTGGCTCTGCATTCTTCCTATGTGGGTTTTCCTCTGCACCTCCCTCCCAGCCATGGGGCCTTGCAACGAGGATACATGAACTCGGAGCTTACCAGCTGCTGTCCTTTATAGTTTATATCTCTGGTACCCGACATTACATTTTATGGCACACATGGCCCAGCCCAACAAAGTGACATTTATATCAGATCCGGCCCTCATAAAAAATTAGTTCGACACCCCTGATATAGGTGCATCTCCAACTTGTAGATCTCACCTTTGAGATCTCACTGGTTATAGGTTTTTCATAAGGTCCAAATTCTTTATAGCTATATTAGAGAATAATAATGTGTGTAGCTTGCCAGGATAGCTCATACTAAACCTATGCTTTGGGGCATGATTTTGCTATACTGATGATGAAGAGGAGGCAAGGTAATATGATATCTTCTTTAAAAGTGGTTACATGAGCAGAATGAACTATTCTCACAATTCTCCCTTTCGTATGATCTCACCTTTGAGATCTCACTGGTTATAGGTTTTTCATAAGGTCCAAATTCTTTATAGCTATATTATAGAATAATAATGTGTGTAGCTTGCCAGGATAGCTCATACTAAACCTATGCTTTGGGGCATGATTTTGCTATACTGATGATGAAGAGGAGTCAAGGTAATATGATATCTCCTTTAAAAGTGGTTACATGAGCAGAACGAACTATTCTCACAGTTCTCCCTGGTATTCCTGTTCTCATCCGTCTTAGAAACCAGGTGCCTCAGCTATCTACACTAGAGCTGGAATCAGACACAATTCAAAGCCATGATATATTTCAACTACTGTTAATTTGTGAAATGAAGAATGGTCATTTAAATCCTGGTCTGTCTTGACAAATACTTATTTCATCACCTTCAGTCTTTCCTCTGTCCTTCCTGCACAGACCCAGCTGGTATTCCAGCTTGCAATTCAGTGAGGACAGCACTGGGAAGCAAACAAGATTATCTTCAATATTGATGTATGTTTGGATATACCCAGTCCACATACATATCCAAAAACACCTTATCAGTATTCTTCTGATATATTTGGGTAGTCAGATGATATTTGGGATTGGAAGGGATATCCCAAAAATTCTGGCAATATTTGGGAACATTGGAGAATATTCATGACTGGCATTGTAAGGCTTCCAGGACTGTTTTTCTTTAATTTTATCATGTGTCTGTGTTATTGCTTTCATGCTAGGTTTTGGTGCTGGTTTGCCAGTTTGGTTTGGCTTGGATTCTCTGGTGTGACATTGGTTCTGCTGGGATTTTTTATCAGTATTCTTCTGATATATTTGGGTATTCAGATGATATTTGGGACTGGAAGGGATATCCCAAAAATTCTTGCAATATTTGGAAACATTGGTGAATATTCATGACTGGCATTTTAAGGCTTCCAGGACTGTTTTTCTCTAATTTTATCATGTGTCTGTGTTATTGCTTTCATGCTAGGTTTTGGTGCTGGTTTGCCAGTTTGGTTGGCTTGTTGGTTCTGTCTGCATTTAGAGGCTTTTGGTCAGTGGTTGCTCTCATGTGTTTCGCTATTGGCTTCTTCACCCTGGAGAAAGTGAGGATTTTTCTCATCATAGGAAACAATGGGGACAAGTAGAATGGCTGAAGGCACCTTGTCTAGGGACATGTAGAACTTGGGCCCTTAATCCAATCTACTTGAAACTTGGGGGACCTTTAGTGGACAAGCAGAATTAGAATCCCTGTGATTTTTGGTGTCATTTGCTTGAGAAACAGTCAGTCCATCCCCCTGGAAATTGTCCCCCATAGACAATAATGAACCCCCAATTTTTCAGAATTCAACCCCCACCCCCAAAAATCCTGAATCCAAGTATTGAAATGCTATTGGGGGACCCAAATAATCCAGATACTGGTATTTATGCCTTTCTTGAAACCTGATTCAAAAAAATACAAAAACAATTTCAGGTGCACATCCCTAGTCTGCATTTGTACATCACATGAAATCATAGTTTGAACTAACTGTGGTTAAGAAACCAACTCCAAATCATTGTTTCAGGGCCTGGTTTGACATACTGTGGCTGAATCCGCATTTGTCTTTCCCACTGGTGTCCCAGCCTTTTGACTCCGTCTTCAAAAAAGCTGTCTACATTTGGTGTCGTTTTCACACCTCAAGAGTGCTAGCATACTTCTGCACGTCCACATATGTTTATCGTCCTTTCGGGGTGGCTCCACTGTCATTGCACCTCTGCACTGCTTTAAAAGAATCTTCTCCAAACAACATTCAAACAAGCATAGAGAAAGGCAGCGTCACAGCAGCATGAAACGAATTTAAAAATGCAAATGCAGATTCGACCCCTAACTAACCTCATCTGCTGTTCAGTGAATTAGGCCTATGAATCCATGGTTTAAATATGTTAAGGAATAAGCAATCCAAACGTGCCACAGAGATTGAACTGGATGACTTCAAAAAAAGAAATTAAAGCAGAGTAAACGTATCGGTTTTACCTTATAAAATCACTATCACTTAATCTGGAGACCTAATTCCCTGAATGAAACTTGGAAAGTGCAACCATTTTTATATATGTATTTAAAAATTACCCTAATGGTTTCTATATAATTAGTTCTGGGCTGAATATTTTAGGAAATCAGTTTCCCGGCCCTTGAAAAACAATTGAACATGTCATAATAATTTCTGCAATAAATTCAAAGACTTAGAATTGCTGGAACAGTCTTTGTTCCTCTCTCTATCCACTCAGTGACTAGCTGCATAATAAGAACAATCTCCCCTCTTTCTGATTTCTCTTTGATGACCGATATTCTCTTTCATGTTCATTTAATTTGTATATTAATATTCTGCTTTTTGTATTGTGTCGCATGGGCCTCAAGAAAAGATTTCACTTTAGCGTAGTTTGGTTTCGTGTGAAATAAAGAAGCTCATCAGGACCAGAGAACAGGAAGCATGACTAAGATATTCTTTAATAAATGACATGACTAACCTTTTTCAATAGGCTAGAGCCATCTTCATACTCAGCTGTGCTATAGATAGGCTCTGAATGGTCTCCTGCAATTGACCTTGGGAGATCAGGTACCAAATTGGACATCTGAGACCGGGAACGCTGTCGAATGGAGGCTCTATGGAACAGGGGGGAAAGGATTATTACTCTTAGAGTCTTACGCTTTGTAGTTTGCCAGACACGTCCCGCGGTTGGGTAATGGACATGGTCTGGGAACTCCATGCTTCACAGGTGTGCAAGGCCCCTAATTTGGATCTGGACCACAGTGCATGGGGTGAAGAGGTATAGACCTCTCTTCCATTTTCCAGCTCTGAAATGGTCCCAGGGAGGTGGTGTTTGCTCCACTGGGGAGAGCAACATGTAGCCATATCAGTACACATACAGCCCTCAGCCTGGGGAGAAAACAAAGTGTCATTAGACTCCATTACAGCATTCTAAGGAGCTACTGTCACATGGAAGACAGTGGGATAAAATGGCACCGTAGCCTGAAATTTGTTTTCCTTCTGCTGTGGTTTTGACATATACAGTTACTCAGAAGCGTGGATGTGTAGTTTGTTTTCCTTCTGCTGTGGTTTTGACATAGTTACTCAGAAGCCTGGATGTGTAATCCCCCCCTTATGAGCTGTTCTGGTGGGTTTATCAGTGGCTGAATATAATTTTGGCCTGACTCAGGTCTACCAGTCAACACTTCAGATTCACTTCTGACTGTTCGGCTGTTGCCGAGATACTTGGGTATTCTGTTCTTTTCTTCCTCCCCCCCACCACTTGCATCTTGAAAGCACAAGAAGGAAAACATAACTTCCAATGTAGCTCCCTAGAGAAAGTCTTTCACAAACACAAAAAAAGTCAGAGGCAAAATCTAGACATCGTCGCATCTTTTCATAATGGATTTCATAGCAACAGAGGAGAAAAGATCAACCGTGTCTTGGTGAGTCTACTTATAAAGCATATAAACAAGGCCATTGTGGCCATTAAAGGCTCATGCATTTCAGAACTGCGTGAGCGGCGAGATTATTTCTGCTTTTGTGAAACAGTGCTTACAATTCTCTTTTCAGAACACAGCAGAAGTGAATACATACGCATTTAGATATTCTTCCTCTCGAGAGGTTGTTCACTTTCCTAACTGGCTCGTAGCTAAGAGCTTCGGCTTGACTGGGGAGAGACATTCAAGAATTCTTTGCTTAGGTCCAATGTATAAAGACAAACGTATACTGGATAATACTAAATAAGTGTAGTCACTGCATGACCCTCTGGAAAGTGCCAGTTCTCATGGTGTGCTCATTCTTATTTTTAAAAAGGTCAAACCCCAAGAGATGCCAGGTGAAATGTTTCATTACACAAAGGTTTTATTAAGGTAAAACATTTCATATTTGCAGCTACAGGCTAACTGAAAGGAATTTAAATAAAAAAATGTTCATATCTTTGGCTTTGTTCTTAGTTTCTACAAGTACAAAACAGAAGATTTCGCTCAAGGCGAACTTATGGATCACTTCTGCTGATGGAAGGGGAATTCTGTTGGAATGTGGAGCTCCTAGATCCCTGCCGAGCACTACATTGGCTCTCTGTAAAGAGAAGAATCTGTGCAATTCCAGTTCTGCATGCTAGGGCTTATTGTCTCAGTCAGAGGGTATGATTTAGGAAAAGACTTGTCAGGGAAGGTGGATTTTGGAAGAGATCCACTTTTTAAATTCTTTTTTAATTTTACCCTGCTTTTCCAAATAATGAATTTGGGGAAAGACCTAAGAAAATTCAGAAACATATCAATGAAACAATCAACATCTCTACATGAGCTTTTAAAATGGACCCAGCTTGATTCCCAGTCAATCATCTTGGGATACGTTAATAGAAGACAATCTGCTCAGTCTAGGGTTTAAGCAGTATCTGTCCCCCATGGATGTCCCAGAAATTAGAAAGAAGGTTCTCAGTTTGCTGAAGAGATCAGACCAGGAGGTTATTCATCTAGATGCTGAGAGAAATTGTTCCTCTCTTTGGGGGGGACTTTCAGCCCCTCTTTTTCCTGTTTTGCCATGTTATTCCACCTTTTTAACTTTGTTGATCTTAAAGGTGCCACTGGACTCAAACTTTGTTATACCTTTTTAACAGCTCCACTCTTTCACCAACTATTCTTCCTAGCTAGAACGAATGCTTTGCCACTCGCAGAACTGTCAGATTGCTGTGAGGGTATTAGCCACCCCCCAGAGACTCTGCCCTTGTGGCAGAGCAGTAAATGAAACTTTATCCCATTTCCTATGTAGCTGCCATCTGCACTCTTCTATAACAGCCAATTTCATACTGTCTTTATTGAGCAAGTTTCCCTGCTGCTCGCATGATTTCCATCTGCCATATTTTTGGGCTGGCAATGACAGGAGTATAACGCTGGCTATGGCAAAGTGTAGAAATCAGGCATGCACATCTTTAAAATAATAACTCTGTGCTTAAGTACTAGTGGGACTACAGATTCTGTTTGTTTCACCAGGGTGTCTTAGGGCACATAGGTGTTCTGATTTTGGCACAGGAACAGGAAACAATCAACAATAAAAGATTTAAGATGATAAGAAAAGCACATCTAACAAGCCAGAAGCAAAACCCAGTGGATCAAATTAAACCAGGCATCAACTGAAACAGAAGATAGATCAAATCAGAACAATCCTCCAAATGCCCGATCAGACAGAGTGGACTTCACCTAGAGCAGAGGTGTCAAACTCATTTGTTACAAGGGCTGGATCTGACATAAATGTCACTTTGTCGGGCCGGGCCATGTGTCCCATAAAACGTAATGCCAGGTACCGGAGATATAAGCTGTATAAAGGACAGCAGCTGGTAAGCTCCGAGTTGGTGTATCCTTACTGCAAGGCCTCATGGACTGGGAGGGGGGTGCAAAGGAAAACCCACATGAGTGGACTGATTAGCCAGCGGTGAAGCACTAGGCAGATGCTCCCACTCTGTTTGACTGCTGCAGACAAGGTTGTTCCACCGCGCTGAAGTCACAATCGGAATGGCTCCACCCACTTCCCCTGAGCAGTCTCCTGTTCCCTCCCTTGCACTAGTTGCTTGCAGGCTACATAAGAGCCCTGGATGGGCTGGTTCCGGCCCCCAGGCCTTATGTTTGACACCCCTGACCTAGAGCCTAAAAGTCAACAAACCTCAGAATGGAATACTTCTCAGGAAAAGTATTACAAAGATGTGGTACCAGTGCCAAAAAGGCCCTGTCCCTGACTTCAGATGGTGGGGAAGCCCAGAGAAGGACCTCCAGGGCATCTCTTAATAAATATTCATGGGACAGACAGTCCTTCTCATACCCTGGGTAGGTAGGACTTTACATGTCAAAACTGTCACACTGTATTGTGCCTAGAAGACCTTGCTACCCAGGGGTTTTGTGTTCAGGAGGGTATCTATGTTGGTCTGAAGCAGCAGAACAAAGTTTTTGAGTCCAGTGGTAACTGTAAGACCAACGAAGTTTTATTCTAGGTGTAAGCTTTTGTGTGCACGCAAGCTTCTTCAGATACATTGAAACAGAAGTCACCAACCATTACATATAGGTAGAGGGTGAGGAGGGTGTGTTGCCAGGAAGGGCCAATTAGAGTCAAGATGTATAAGCAACTGAGCAGTAAATATAGCTAAGACTGGATGAAGGCAATTGGTAAGACCCATGAATAGCTGCAAATCAACATACAGCATAATAAAGGAGTTTACAAACCGCTGCAAGAACTGAATGACATCAGCATGTATAGAGAGATAAGAAACCAATATCTCTGTTAAGCCCCGTGGATTCCAGTGTCCTGAATGTTGTAATAACTTGTAACATAGCGATCTCCAATATCTCTGTTAAGCCCCGTGGATTCCATTGTCCTGAATGTTGTAATAATTTGTAACATAGCAGTCTCCCATTCCAGTCTGTTTCTGAAGTTCCTTTGCAATAAAACAGCTTTTTTGAGGTCCCCCGTTGAATGTCCTGGAATGCTGAAGTGTTCTAGAGGTTTCTCAGTTTTTGTGATTCTTCATGTTTGATTTGTGTCCATTTATCCTTTGCTATAGGGTTTGACCTGTTTGCCATATGTAGAGAAATGAAGGGCATTGTTGGCATTTAATGGTATATACAATATTAGAAGATGAGCAAGCGAATGATCCTGAGATGGTGTAGTTGATGTTGTTAGGTCCAGTGATTGTGTTGTCTGGGTGTATGTGGCAGCAAAGTTGGCATTTGGGTTTATTGCAATCTCTGGTACCAGTGTCTGTGTTCAAGTTAGATGTATTATTGTGGGTGAGGAATTAAGATTGGGGGGGCTGTCTGTGGGCAAGACAAGGTTTGCCCCCAGTATTTGTGAAAGAGAACCGATTGTCCAGTAGAGGTTGTAAGTCGCTGATGATGATGCATTGAACTGTTTTGAGCTGAGAGCTGTATGTGACCACTAGTGGTGTTCTGCTATTGTCTCTTTTGGGCCTGTCTTGGTTATGTATTGTCTGTGGTGTATCCACAGCCTTGCTACGGTATAGAACAGCTTGCTATTTTCTAACTAGTGCTCACTGTTTCTTTTCCCCCCCACGAGATCCACATCAACTGTTTGGAAATCTGTTGCTGTATTTTGGATACATATCCACCAGAGGAATTATGTGCTGTCTGTCAGAAAAATGGAAGTCACAAACATTTGCTGCATTCCTAACATGCAAAACCTGACAGAGGAGACCATGACAAAACATTTACCATTTACCTTTGCTACACTCATGTATTATTTGCGTGCCATGTGTACTTATAAGGTAGAGAATGTCAGAATCAAACGTAATTGCAGCAGCAGCTTGTGGAGTGGGTAATATCCCAGCCCCTAGCTCTAAATGTCAATTAAGGATGTCAGAAGCACTGTAAATATCCCACCTGCAGCTTTGAGTGTGTAAGCTGGTGACCTTACTAGCAGGCTATGGGAGGCAACAATGGTGCTGCCATGGCCACACCACAACAGTGTACAGCTGCAAAGTGGCTAGAAGAAGCCAGTGCCAGCAAGTGACAACATCACCCTGTGCTCTCCCCAGGTTCCACTACCTGCTCGGTAGCTGCACACCCACACAGTGCTGCGGCATGGGCCTGAGAACACCACTGTTGTCTTCCACAGCCCGCCCGTAAAGCCACTGCTTCCCCTTCTTCATTCAGCCACACTCAGTGGTGGGGGCTGGGATATTCCCCACAAAACACCCTATGAATCGCTGCTGAATTCTTGCAGCATGGACTACAAAATCTTGTGCTATCTGATAGAAAAGATGTGGTTTGCAAACTATATCCCCCATGGCAAACTGGAGCTCCCTGGCTTCCTTGTTCATCATGTTGTGTTTTTTCTTGCCAAGGGTTCTATAATTTGCCATTTTCGTCAGCTCCATGTACTGGGCGAGCGAAGCTATCATGAGCAAACACAAAATGGTGACAGGTAAATTTGGATGGTCCTCCTCCATTTCTATGGAGCTGTGGTGGCTCAAGTGGTTAAGACGCTGAACTGCAGGCTGTGGAAGGTCGGTAGTTCAGCAGTTCGAGACCCGAGTGTGCCGCAAGACAGGGTGAGCTCCCGTCTCTAGTTCCAGCTCCTGCCAACCTAGCAGCTCGAAAGCAAGAAATTGCAAGTAGATAAATAGGTACCACTTCGGTGGGAAGGTAACAGCGTTCCGTGCGCCTTGGCGTTTAGTCATGCCGGCCACATGACCATGGAAACGTCTTCGGACAGCGCTGGCTCTTCGGCTTGGAAACGGAGATGAGCACCGCAACCCTAGAGTCGGATTCGACTCCCTTTACCTTTACCTTTACCTCCATTTCTAAAGGCTTACCTCAAGCTGGCCTGGTAGCTTCCCCTGCTGAAAGAGTGCACTTTCTCAAGTGTCGGCTCAGAGACTGTAAAAATAAACACCACAGAAGCTTGTGAGAAAGTAAGAAAATCAAAGCAGTTGTTTTTTCCATTTGTAATTTCTCTAAGGCAATGATTTTATTTACAACTCCTGTTACAGAGACTAAAAGCCTTTGTATAGCACTTTACTCTTTGATGCAATCACTGGAATTCTCTTTTGATGACTAAAGCACAGAGAAAATGTATGATCTGAACCTCAGTGCATTTTCTGCAGAAAGGTGGTTAAAAGTTTTGAGTGAGTAAGCTCAGCACACCATGCGTCTCCCACACACAGCCTGCTCTGAGGCCCCATCTGCACCCACCTGCCAGCACGGACTCTGCAATGTGCTTCAGAAAAGAAGCAGTGTGGTTAGAAAGGAATCAGCTACACCTCGGTGGCGGTTGTGTTTTTATGCACAGATGTTGTGTATGCCAAAGCACTCACGTAGGAAACTGTGCAAGCAGATGACCCCCAAGAGTAGAAATGGTTTGGGCAGACACATGGTATGGATTCTGTTGGGCTGTACCGTTTGAGACTGATGGGTGAGGGGTTTGCATGGTTTAATGCACCCCTCATAATATCCCTGCAAAGGCAAAGCTAGTATGTAGGGGGTGAAGGCTAAATTATTATTACTTACTCTGACAGTCTGGCAAGTGTCGTCCTAAGAACACCTTCCTAGGTGTAAGCCCCACCGAAACTTAGAAACATAGAACTGGAAGAGACCCCCAAGGATGATCTAGGGTTATCTAGGGTTGCTGAAGTCTGAATATATACTGGCATTGCCGAGTCCCTCCTGGCAATCGGTGGGGGATGAGGGGGGACTTACCAGGAGCACGAAGGAGGGCCAGCCAACACTGCAGCAACGTGTCTAAGTCACTTCTAACATGACCTGGAACTGACATCACACAGCAATGCCAGGGCAATACTCTGGTATCTGGGCAGAAACTCTATGGTAAATTTGGTTTCTACTGCAGGGGTTTTGCTGAAATACCTGAGTGTCACCCCAACATTGCCAACATGATGATGTCACTTCCAGATCATGTTGGAAGTTACGTAGACACATCGCTGCAACATCAACTGGGCTTTGTTCTTCTTCCAGGTAAGTCTCCCCCGCCAGCCAGCTGATTGACAGTGGGGCAGTGAGGTCTGGTGGGGGGGGGTGACCCCCTCCTCCAGTGGGGGGTCTGGCAACCCTAGATTACACCTGTTTAGGACTGGTCTCTAAATTTTTAAATTCAGGAAAAAACTGTGTACAGGGAACATTCAAACATGTAATCTTGCAACTATAGTCCAAATCTGGACAAATTTCTTCTCACCAGGACACTTATGAAGTATATTGGCAGTTATGAACTACATGGGATATGTACTGGAGACATTTCTAACAGTGTTTGGGTTTAGGGCTGGAAGAACTGGAAAGCCTTGTTATATTGACTTGGGAGACAAAGGAAACTGCAAGTCCTAGGCTTCCTTAAAAAAAAAAAGGATGGGAGACCTTAAGGCTGACAACGGTAGCTTGGGAAATCCCTGGAGATCAGGGGCAGTGTCTGGAGAGGGGGGAACTGGGAATTTAACACCATAAAGTCTGGCCTCTGAAGCTTCCATTTCCTCTAGAAGAACTAATCTCTGGAATCTGGAGATCAGTTGTAGTTCTAGAAGACTTCCAGGCCCCACCTGGTACTGGTGGTGGTAGGAAAGGAGTTATGTTCCTTCTCATGTGTTTTTCTGAGGTTTTCTTGGAAAACAACTCAAGGGTCAGTCATATTCCAGGCCTGGAACACATAGGGAAGGGGTTTAACCCTACAATATTCACTCAGTTTTACTGAAACTGGCCTCCCTGCTTAGTGAAAGTACTGTAAAGGGGGGGAAATATATCCGGGTGCAGCTTTAAAAAACAAAAACAAATAGCATGAGAGCTAATTTCAGAAGTAGAGGATGAAGGGTTAACCACCCTTCTTCCTTCCTGGAGCAGCCTCAAGGCAAATTGAGGCTTCTCATGCCTGCAATTTGTATTATATGGACAGACCAAGACGTGATCATCCTCTTGTTTGAGTCCTCAGAAAGAGGACTCCTCTGGGAAAACTTTAGAAAAATATCAACATGAGATTGAGGAGGGGATGGGGAATTTTCCCATCACCAATACCTAACATTACATATAGCCAGACTTTATTAGACCAGTATAACCTAGGAAGGTCAGAAATTCTACTTTAGAGGAGTGCTAGGACATACAAATTGATGTCAGCATGACCCAACACTGTACTAGAGATCTTAAAAGCAGGGCTTTTTTTGTAGAAAAAGCCCAGCAGGAACTCATTAGCATAATAGGCCACACCCAACAGCAGAAACAATTAGCATATTAGGCCACACCCCTGACAGCACAGCTCATCAGCATGTTAGGCCACACCCCACATGTAACCAGAAGTGTGGTCATCCAACCACACCCACCTTTTGCTTCTTATTCTGTTTACTTTGTTGTCAAAACCCAGGGCTTTTTTTAAAGGGAAGTCCGGGCCCCGCGGGTGGGGGTGGCAGTGTGCTTCCTCCTCACCGGGCAAGGAGCTGCCAGCCCTCAGTCCCCACCCCCCGCTTCAGAGGCACGCCACCGCGGCCAGGGGCTGCGTGGGGTCAGGCGCCAGGAACACACTCCTCCTCCTCTGGAGAGCAGGGGCGGCAGCAGAGTTCTTGGGGTTGAGCAGCGACTTTTGGGGGGGGGGGGGGGGGGGGGGGCCAGGCAGTGTATTACACTAATACCAGATGGAATCAAAGCAAAGGGAGAATCAAACTCGAATAAGGAAAACCAATTTTTGTGTGCGTTTGTGAACTATCTTTTAAAAATGGCAAATCTCTTTTCTTTTTAAAAAAATGCCAAATAAGGGACTTGCCTTGTACAGATGTTTCAACAAGTGCCTTGTCTCCCTGGCTTTGCAAAGTCACCAGTGTGAAATAAACCCCTTTTCGCTCTAATAGCTCCTCATGTGTCCCTCTTTCCACAGCTCTCCCATGCTCAAAACCAATGATGACATCTGCTGTCTTGATGGTGGACAGTCGATGAGCTATTGAGACTGCAGTGCGTCCCAAGCGAGCCTAAAGCAGCAGAAATAGGATAGGCAAAAAGTGGTTAAAAGTGCCATTGACATATTCCCATAAACATAAAAGGGTTTTCTCTACTCCCATTTTTAAATTAGTTTAAAAGATTTTAAAGCTGTATTTGGAAAAGGCATTTGCCATATCCTACCCATATGTACACCTGATACATGTAAGGTTCAAACTGCTATACACCAATTTTCCAATTCCTTATGAGACCAGAGGTCCAATGCACACGTGCAGCTTTTTGTTCATAATGGCAAACTTGCAAGGGACAATGCTTCATGCACCAAGGGAGGCTGTTTGCGCATTGGAGCATGAACTGTTGAATTAGCTTTTGTCTCTTGGATCATCACTTTAAAAAGTGACAAGATCGACCTCAAGACTTTATAATTAACAATCTTTGTGAAATCAAAGAATTGGAAGGGTCACTTAGTCCAGCCCTTCCCCCTTCCTTGGGAAATGCAAAGCTAGAGCACCCCCTAGAGAACTCCATCAAGAGAGAGCCAATCCCCTGCTCCTTAGGGTTAGGAAATGGTTGCAAAAAGATGTCTGCACCCTAATGAATTAGCACTGAAATATGACAAACCTTATGAAGAGCTTCTTGAACTGTAGCTTCACTTTCATTATCCAGTGCAGAAGTGGCCATGTCCAATAGCAGGATTTTGGGGTTTCGAACTAAGGCTCGAGCAATAGCTATCCTTTGCTTCTGGCCCCCACTCATTTGGCCACCGCCTTCTCCAACAAGGGTGTCGAATTGCTAAAATAGCGAGAACATGAAAGCAAGTAACAGTGTGTGTATCTTGCTCCCCTACTGTGACAGCCCAATGCTTGATACAAGGAAGCAGTAACTGTGTACCCTGTCCATCATCTTTGCTTGCTTCCAGTTATGATGTGAAGGAAAAACTCACACATCTCTCTAGTGGGAAATGTGTTGCTAAATCAGATATCATTCACAGATTTCCCAGCTGGAGAAAAGAAAAACCAAATTGTCCACAGACTCAAGGGACACATGAAAAGAGTTGTTTACAGATTTTATGCATTTCCTTAGAACGTGAAAAAGACCTTAAGAAAATTATATTTGGCATGGTGCTGTGTGGCCCGTGGTATCTCTCATGTTTCCGGGTGTCTTCATATAACACTAATTTGACTCTTTCTCTGGAGTGTGGTTGTGTTGGGTCCTAACTGGGGAGAAGGAAGAGAGGCAAGCACTGTTGTATGCTGAGTTGTGCATCAATTGTTCATGTTTTCTGGTGGTGCCTACTACATTTTTTTCAAGTGCCCACAGGCTCAACAAGGTTGGGGAGCCCTTTTCTAAAATATTAGGGTGCTGCTTTGTACCAAATAAGGCCAATGGTACATTTAACCAAGTAAAAGATGTTTATGACTTTGACAGGCAGTGGCTTTTAGAGAGCGAACTTTCCTGTCCTTTCTACCTAAGGGTTCTTTTGATTGAGATGCTAGGTGTTCCACCTATGTTCCACTACTTGCCTGTGGGTCTTGGAACACTCAGGTTTGAGATGGAACGTGAGATGTATTGGATGCCCAGATATTTAGACACTTGAAAAGCTACAGTTACCCTGCCTTGAATAGCCCAGGCTAGTCTGACCTTGTTCTATCACAGAAGTTAAGCAGGGGTGGCTCTGGACACTATTTGGATGGGAGATCACCAAGGAATACCAGGGTCACTATGCAGAGGCAGGCAATGACAAACCACCTCTGAATGTCTCTTGCCTTGAAAACCCTACAGTGTCACCATAATTCAGCTGTGACGACAGCAGAGAGAGAGAGAGAGAGAGAGAGAGAGAGATGCAGAACGCGAGAGATAGAGAGAGAGAGAGAGACAGAGAGAGAGAGAGAGAGAGAGAGAGAGAGAGGAACATGTATCTTCCACTTGACTTTAAATTTGTATTTTCACCAGTGTGTGTGTATGTGTATACGCACAAACATACACATACCCAGGAGTCATTTCCTGCAGGAGTGCACAGGAGCGGAGCTCCGGCAGTAAAGAGCCCAGGGGGCGGGCACATGCAACAAGCCCCACCCCCTGCTCCCAGCAGCCCTCAGTCAGAGCAAGAAGCAGCCAGGTAAGTTGCAGAGCTCCCCCCGGCCCCCCAATCCAAAACAGTCCAGTGGCACCTTTAAGA